ACCCTCCTCTACAATGGGGAAACAGTGAACAGTACATCACCAATGTCACCATTTATATTTGTTATCGTCTTATTATCTATTAATAACCTAATATTTAATTTAACTACACGAGTAGTGGAATTTACAACGTCGACCATTTCCTCTAGATTAAATTTTACTGCGATGACCCGACCCTCCGATACTTTAAGTGGTACCTAGTTATTGCGAAAATAGAATTGGATATTATTATGTACTGTTTATACAGAACTAATAGTAAACATCACAGACTTAGAAGATCTTTCATATCAGAAATCGTAGACTTTATCTCGGTAGTGTTCACTGATGTTACATGGAGGTGTGAACTGGTCGTGGCGGTTTGATTTACCGTGTGTGTAAGTCCCATAACAAAACAATATCTTACGATCGGGGCGCAGGTGGTGTGTCGAAGCTGTCGAGTTTTTGCCAAGGTTGCGCAAGACGGGTAAGTGAAACTTTACCCCACTGCAGTGCAACGGAGCTGAAAAGCGCTTGACTCCTCATCAGCAGGAGAGGACTCTTTAAAGTAGAGACACTACATACTGATATACACCTGAACATCAGCAGGAGAGGACTCTTTAAAGTAGAGACACTACATACTGATATACACCTGAACATCAGCAGGAGAGGACTCTTTAAAGTAGAGACACTACATACTGATATACACCTGAAAATGAGCCGAATATGTCCTCTTTAAGAGGATCGAAAAATTGGTGTCTGTCTTGTGAAGGCATACTCACACACGCTCTTCAAATCTAATCCATATGGCACATTATAGTATCATATTTAACACAAAAAAAGAACAACCTTCAAATCAAACTGATTTTTGTCAGCATAAGATACCTGCTGTTACTTTTAATTACAAACCACATCTGAGACTTGTGCATCTTGTTGGGAAACCAAAACTAAGTTTTGATGACGGGACAGAAAGTGTTGTGACAGGGGAAGAGGATTTGCTGTTTCAAAGGGATTCCTCCCTCCTTCTTTTGAAACTAACTGTCCAGGACTAATGAGCCTAAAACACACAGCTTTACCTTTAATTGGAAAGCTGTAGCTGCTTTAGACCGTCTCAGAGAGAAAGATTGTTTTTCATCTTTATCCATCAAGTCAGCGTTTACTGCACATGAAGAAGAATGTAAACATTTCATTTGAAAATCCACAGCATTACTAAACTGGTAAACAAAATGCCATCTTCTCAGGCAAAGGGATGAGGCTTGTTATCAGTTTAAAAATAGCAGCCGTCTCCAACCAAAAATAATTGGATTAGATCAAGCCCTCGTTCCGTTTCAATATGCAGGAGTTACTATAATGATACATTAGGTGACATTTTGTTCTCCCTTTAAAATGTATCCCCATTTAAAGCAGATTGTTACCTAGAATCGGTTCATTTGAACTTTTCAGCAGTGAAGTCTTCTATTCAAATAAAATCACTCATCTAAAAAAGAGATATATCTTTTGAGTTGAGTCAGTTTTCTTTGTCACACTTTTGATGATAACATAACACGCTTTCAAACTTTATGCAATACAAATTGCTTAATAGCAACTCCAGCAGCTGTTTAACTTTATTAAGACACCACAGGGCTCTCACCCCCAGTTTCCACTGGGTCCGGCTGCGCCGCGGTTTTGGTCAAGCGCCATAACCCACCGGACGCGTCCCAGAAGCGTAGCGTCGTGGGTGCAGGCTCGCAGTTTTGTTATTGATTCGGGTTTAATTCAGGTATTAATTAACTTTAAAACATTAATATGTAGTTGTTACCTTCCACTCCACAAACTGCAGCAACTAAAAACCAGGCCTTGTCCTTTCTGATGTTGTCCTTGTAGTTAGCATTGGTTACATCGTATCAAAGTGTGTTTTTCCACTTCCATGATGAAAACCTCGTCGTCCATTGTGCGTATCGTAGTGGAGGTGTTGTGATTAAGAGTCCTTCACCTTTGCCACTCGTAGGCTCCGGTCCGTGTAGTGGGGTGTGTATTATGTATTAAATTTCTGTG